TGATATGTCCCCAGAGGTCCAGTACAACACCACCTTTAATTATGACTTCATTAATAAACATATAATTGAATTTATACATTTATGACAATTTCACCAAAAAGTGGAATGTTTTGAGCTTCATAAACACAGGCGTTAAGGCAGAACTGTTGTATTTCACTTGCATGCAGTTGTACAGGTGTACCTATTAAAGTTGTTGGGCTCTGGGCATCGTCACATTCAGTTTGAAGTAAAATACTGGATACTACATTAAAGCAACCATATGTAACATTTTTACATTAAAAAAGTTTAAGAATCACTTTGATGGTACATTGACTTGTACTAAGACGAATGGCAACTTCTTCTTTTTCACTACATACCCAGATTGTCTGTTATTGCACTATGTAACTTTGGAATGGTCGAGAACTGCATAACACTTTATGGCACCACATCACACACAACTACAGTGGGTCAGACCCTTTAGCTAGGTATAAGAAGAAGCTATCTTAGTATGGCTAATATGTCAGAGGAGGAGGAAATGAGTGAGTGACCGAGCAAATGCAAATTTGTACTTATTGGGACTTTAAAGTGCCAGGTTTCAGTTTTAATTTGAGTAGGTTTACATCAGTACAGACATGATTGTTTGGAAGGAAACTGGTAGAGTTCTGGTACAAACATCTACAGACTGAAGAACCAAAAATCAACCTATTAAATGATGGAAAGAACAAAGAGTGAAGAAACAAACAAGAGCTCATGACCCAAAGCACCTCCTCATCTATCAAACATGGTTCTGGCTGCCGGTGGAAGTGGCACAACAGGGTGAATTCAGAGGTGGACAGGAGCATTCTGGGTAATCAGATTCATCATTGGTGTGTGTGTGTGTGTGTCCAATTATGTTTTGAACCCCTTAAAGCTGGCACTACACTGTATGTTAAGAGCTTTATCTCCCACTGTATTGATGTCAACATATTCAAAACCAAGACTTGTCACATTAATATAGTATCCATCATTTAGTTTTAAATTGAATGTGCGGAGACAGTTTACTGTAACATTAACACCAGTGACTTCTCCCAGTTTGGTTATTTTTGTAAGTCCAGAGTCCCATCACCCCAGAAAGTAATTGCTGTGTAATTCTTACAGCAATTCAGCATTTAAAATGGTAAAATTGAGGCTGATATTATAGTTGTCTTACCTGTGGTACACTATGAAAGCAAACAGTAGATAAGCCAGACATGCTCTTGATTCCTTAGAGTGAGTGTTGCCCATCTGAGCACTTTTTTTTTCAGAGAGGGACTCTTGGATTGCGAGTAGTGTGACCTGTAGGATTGTATTGTGAAACTGACCTTTGAAAATACAGCACTGAGAAATAATCCACAGTAGTGCTGTTTTCCTTTTGACTGAAGAGGAAGATAAGACCTTGCTTTTACCAAGAGTTCTGGGGCAAAGTGCCAAAGTGATGATTTGCTGACTCGGTTTAGTTCAGCTTCGAGCAAAGGCTCTCTCAAGCTCCTCATGCAGCTGCTAGGAAAAACTGATAATCACCAAACAGTTTGCACTTTTCAAGATGAAAGGTTATTGTTAGTTAACATTAATGTACTGCAGGGGGAGCCAAATACCTTTTTAAACAGCTGCATGCTAAATCACAAGTAAAAAGGAAGCATGTCCTCATATATAGTAGACGGATTGTTTGTACTTACCCTGGTCAGATGTGTGATGGCAGCCTGGCAATGATCAAAACTCTTCTCCTTTTTAACAACTTCACTCACAAGAGGTGCCAGGAGAGCACAACCCATAGATTTCACAGTGCCCTATAGCTGCAAAAGAAAACACACATACTTCATCATTAACCAGAAACACAGACTCTGTTGCTATAGATTTGGTGTGCCCTTCCTTTTCATTTGCATGTGTCACTACATAAACAGGTGCATGCAACAGCAGCTGCAGTTTCACACCTGCCTTGCATCTGAATAGACTTATCAACTGCGGCTTTAAGTGTGATCTAATGGACAAAAACAAGCGTGACTGTGAGTGCTGTCAGAGCAAATTTAGACATCTTCATCGTGGTAGGGTTGTAGCTTCAAAGCCATAAATCTCAATGCCTCCACTGAATGGACCTAAGCGCTAGGATGTTTGTTACTGTAGCTCTTGGTACACAAATGTTGGAGATGCTGGATGGCTCAGGTGAGAATAAGCTTCCAGTCCACACTAACATCTTCTTCATGGCCAGGTTTAACACTGGGACACAAACTTGCAGTCCGTCATGACCAACAGTTTAATGTCTTTATCATGTCCCAAAGGTTGCCTAGAGAGAATTAATTAGTCTGGGACTAATTAGAGGGAAATATGCATGTTATTGAAAGAAACGCTCAGTTTCAACCTATAAATTAATTCATTACACATTTATTATTGGGAACTTGATTATTCATACATATTCAGTAATATACAGTATTTCCTGGTAGACACATTCACGTGTTCAGCTAGGCTAGTGTTCAGCAACTAAGATTACACGAGTAGTTAAAACAAATTCTTTCTCTTTTTAACGGCATTTAATGAAGAGTTGTAGAAAAGCAATCCCATTACTGTCACTACATGAACAGAACTTGTGTTGCTCTGCACCAATATCTCCTTCTGTGCAGAGGTTCTTTCTACATCCACATAGACAGCCAGCGAGAAATCTGACTGCTTGTTTCCTCCCCACACCTCCAGGTCAAGGGTGCAGCAGGCGCAGAGTAGTGGCTGCATGTTAAAGTTTAGCATAGTCGGGTAACAGGAAAGCGGCTGCTGCTTTTTGCTTCAGTAGATGCATGTGGCCGTTGCTGTTCAGGAGGCTGCGGTGTGAATGTAGCCCCGTATGACAGATTAACACTTCCAAGATGCAAGTTGTGGCAGTGTCTAGAGACCAGAGCAGACCTGTCTCTGTCAGCTGTGTCGTGGTCTAGGAGAAATACTTGGTTTTTCACATCCTGAATCGATTTCAGTAGCTGTGCACTGTGACTTTCAGTGAGACAGGCAGATTCCAGTTTCTTGATCTGCTTGTAGTCCTCTGGCTTCAGAGCTTCTTCTGGATTGTCTCGCTAAATACAGAGAGGAGGGTTATCAAATGTCACGCTGCTTTCTTTTACCTTCTCTGTTTTGGCATGTGTGGAAAAACGTCCCCCTTTCTTACTGTATGTTGCTTTTAGAAATCCTGACTACATCATATTTAATTACATTGTTTTTACATCCACCAAACATTGTCATCCTAAAATGTTTAACCAAAATCTATTTTTGAACTACATATAATCTGATATTAATTACTTCTACTGTCAGAAGCCATTACCATAATCCTACAGAAGGTAGATGAAATAAAATAATATATTTAATTTCTGCACAAGCCAAAAGAACCAAACATATTCAATTCAAATTTTTAATGGGAGCAATTTTACACAGTAAGGAGAAGGGCATGAGTACAATTCAGCCAAGTCTTTGTTCGCTGTGATGCCAGTTTGTTGAAGTAGGTGTGTTATTTAAATGATTTCTCAAAAGCACACACTTATAAAGCTCATTCTCCCACAGAATCTTCATGACGGGTGAACACGAGCATGCTTACCTCAGCTGCACTGTGACAGAAGAGTATTGACTTTCCCATCTCTGGATTATGTCATTCACCTGATCTTCATTCATCATCAATATCCTATTATCAATATATTTATTTCCATCACAATAGATGCTGTGGTAGCTCTAAGAACAAGTGTCGGCACCAATATCAAAATGACCAAATGTGATGCTTTGCTGACGTCTCGAGGGAGAGAGACGGCCTTAAGAAACCAGAATATAAACCTCTTATCTCCCTTTGTGCCTGACATGTAATAGGATTAAACCAGAGCATGGAAAATGTGGAACTGTCTGGAAAGATCCAGTCATAACAATAAATTCACTCCTGTAAAATAAATAGTGCAGAGGTGGTCACACTTTGAAAGGACCTCAGATATATTGCACCGGGGACCCTTCTGTAAATAGCTTTGTAATCCAGTTAAAGTCATCTGAGTGTGTTCGTGCTTTATCGAGCACACTGCTGCCCACTGTCAAATGCACTCACTGAAATATTTGCCTAATTTCCTGCACTGTAGGTGGGGATATGCCACTAAACACACACTGTGACAAAAATAGCAGTTCATATTAAAGTTCATGTTGCACTTACATCCACTGAAAACATGATTTGTTCTTTTTGAAATAATTGTTTGCAGCTTATTTTCTGTACAATGAGCTTTGCTATAAAGGAAAATATTGAAGGTTGCACAAATCAAGTACATTTTTCTGCCAGTCATTCTTCAGAGCATGCTGAGGTGTTATACATTGTTGAACTGGGTTTCCCCCACCATTCCATCAGCAGCTGGTAGTTTCCATCCATTTTATTGGGTATTTAAATCAAATTTAATAGATTTCAGCTGCTTGTCTTCAGTAGTTAATAAAGGTGATTTATCCTTATCCTTTATTATTGCCAGAAGAAGGTGGTTACAGTATGTAGATGGATTTGAGAAGGACTGTAGCACGGTGGCGCAGTGGTTGGCACTGTTGCCTCAGAGTGAGAAGGTTCTGGGTTCGGGCCCCTTTCTGTGTGGAGTTTGCATGTTCTCCCTGTGCTTGCGTGGGTTCTTTCCGGGTACTCCGGCTTCCTCCCACAGTCCAAAGACATGCAGCTTAGGTTGATTGGTGTCTCTAAATTGCCCATAGGAGTACATGTGTGCGGTTGTTCATCTATGTGTTAGCCCTGTGATGGATAACTCGATTGCCAGCCGGGATTGGCTCCCCGACCTCGTTCAGAGATTAAGCGGTAAAAAAATGAATGAATGTTTCTACACAACAGGAATTTAGGTTAATTCATATTTATTGTATATCTCAAGCAATTTTAGGAGTTTATTTTCATACAGTCCAGAAATTGAAGGAGATCAATGGCTGCCTGAAGATATGTCCATCCATCCATCCATTTTCCTCCGCTTATCCGGGACCGGGTCGCGGGGGCAGCAGTCTAAGCAAAGATGCCCAGACTTCCCTCTCTCCAG